CCCCCCCCCCCGGGGCCCGCTGGGCCCAGCTAAGGGGGAACAGACACTTTCACCTGGTTAGCATCTTCCCTCGGGGAGCCAGAGTTAAGTTCAAGTAGGTTAAAGCATTACATTTGTAAATTTGTAAAGGATCAAGTTGTGAAAAGAAAGGCAATCTTGTTCTCGGAGACTTTACTAGCCAGTAAATGCAATATGATACATTTATAGGAGCGAAGACCCAGATTTTCTGAACTTCACGGAACCAGAAAGATGTGTTTATTTCATAGAGTTTATGGAATGGCTGTAGCATAGGTACATTTTTACAAGGCACTGCGTCGACTGGAGTTCATCATAAAGTGAAAATGGGCAATGAGTACCTCCAGGCCTAAGTATAATTTATATACATATTTACCTAATTAAATGCAAACAACCAAAGCCACATGTTTTTAATTTTTGGTTTAATTTTCGGCTCTTTTGATGCTTTTTTGACGTAAAAGGAGCTGTGATACTTCGCAAGCTGGTATCACAGTAGAAGGCGCCAAGGATGCAAACAAACACTCATATCAGCAAAAGTGACGAGAGGTCACGTTCCGAAGTCCTTCACGTTGACAAAATAAACCAGAATTATATGGCAAACCCCTTACAGCTTGTTATCGTTCTGCTAAGAAAACAGAGCTACTGGGCCTTTTATATGCGGAAGCCAAACAGAGGCAAGAAGGGTTTTTCAGATGAAGCCAAAGTCCTGGCGCTGTATTTTGACGCGGGCCTCCTGCTAATCTTGTGATTGTTGTTACCCTGTCCCTGTTTGTCTTCCATTCCACTCTTGTTATTTTATGGCTTTTTGAAAAATTAACCTTCTGAGGGGGAAAAGTATAAATTTTAAGGCTGGCGTGAAGGGCGGTACAAACTATATAGGAAAGGCAGAGCATAAATAGCAGGGTTAGAAAATTGTTGGATCGGTAGGTAGGTAAATAGACAGATAGATATTAGAACTTCCCTCCTAATTTTGAATCTCTTGTTTATGTTTACCATGTGCCAGAAAACTAGTTGACCCAGCAAGAAGTCTGCAAGGAAGGACGGGAATTTCGGTGGCTGGTTTTAAAAATATTTAGTATTTTTGAATTATTGAAATGTGTGTGCTTTCTGTTTAGAATGGCAAAGAGAAATGAGGCGCCACTTCATTTCTCTTCTTACCGTGCGTCTCAATGCACTTGAGCCAAACAAATCAAGTTGCACAGGAGGAAGCAGGGCAGCCTCCCGACCGCCTCCCGGCTCCCGCAGCGCACGCAGCGGGGTGGGAGTGAGGCGGGGCCCGCACCCCGTCAGCCCCCGTCTGTTCCGCACGCGCCCGTCCATATCTGTGTCTGTATCTGTTGTTTGCACACGTGAGATCACAATTTATATATCGTCCCTCAGTTTTTTTCACCCTGTGTGTTAAGGAGCTCTTTTTCGGCAAGTACGCGTAAGCCAATTTCTTTCCTTTTATTGGCTGCATAGAATTTTATAGCGTGAATCTGTTATAATTCGCTTAACTCTTATAATACACCTTTTTATTTCCAGTGTTT